AGCCAACAAGAGGATATAACTATTATAAATATCTATAAATAAAACATAGGAGCACCCACATATGTGAAACAAATACTAACAGAAACAAGGGGGTAAATAGAATGCAATGCATTCATTTTAGGAGACTTCAATACACCACTCACTCCAAAGGACAGATTAACCAGACAGAAAATAAGTAAGGAGACAGAGGCACTAAACAACACATTAGAACAGATGGACCTAACAGACATCTACAGAACACTCACCCAAAAGCAACAGAATACATACTCTTCTCTAGTGCACATGGAACATTTTCCAGAATAGATCACATGCTAGGCCACAAGAAGAGTCTCAGTAAATTCAAAAAGATTGAAATTGTAACAACCAGCTACTCAGACCACAAAAGTATGAAACTAGAAACAAATTGTCCAAAGAAAACAAAAAGGCCAAAACACATGGAGGCTAAACAATATGCTCCTAAATAATCAATGGATCAATGACCAAATTAAAACAGACATCAAGTAATATATGGAGACAAATGAAAACAACAGCTCAATACCCCAACTTCTGTGGGATGAAGCAAAGGCAGTTCTAGGAGGAAAGTATGTAGCAATCCAGGCCTATTTAAAGAAGGAAGAGCAATCCCAAAAGAACAGTCTAAATTCAAAATTATTGAAACTGGAAAAAGAAGAACAAATGAGGCCCAAAGCCAGTAGAATGAGGGACACAATAAAGATCAGAGAAGAATTAATAAAATTGAGAATAAAACAACAGAGAGAATTAATGAAACCAAGAACTGGTTCTTTGAGAAAATAAAGAAAATAGATAAACCCCTAGCCAGACTTGTCAGGAAAAAAAGAGAATCTACACACATAAATACAGTCCGAACTGAGAAAGGAAAAATCACTATGGACACCACAGAAATACAAAGAATTATGAGAGAATACTACAAAAAATTATATGCTAACAAATTGGATAACTAGAAGAAATGGACAACTTTCTAGAAAAATACTACCTTCCAAGACTGACCCAGGAAGAAACAGAAAATCCAAACACACCAATTGTCAACAATGAAATTGAATTTGTAATAAAAAAAACTACCGAAGAACAAAACTTCCAAATCAGATGGCTTCACTGCTGAATTTTATCAGACATTTAGTGAAGGCCTAATACCCATCCTCCTTAAAGTTTTCCAAAAAGTAGAAGAGGGGGGAATACTTCCAAACTTATTCTATGAAGCCAGCATCACTCTAATGCCAAAACCAGACAAAGACACCAAAAAAATAAGTACAGACCAATATCCCTGATGAACATAGATGTGAAAATACTCAACAAAATATCAGCAAACTGAATCAAAAATATCATACATCATGACCAAGTGGGATTCATCTCAGGGATGCAAGGATGACACAATTTTAGAAAATCCATCAACATCATCCACCGCATCAACAAAAAGAAGGACAAAAATAACATGATCATCTCCATAGATGCTGAAAGAGCATTTGAAAAAATTCAACAGTCATTCATGATAAAAACTCTCAACAAAATGGGTATAGAGGGCAAGGACCTCAACATAATAAAAGCCATACACAACAAACCCATAGCCAACTTCATACTTAACGGCGAAAATATGAAAGTTTTTTTCTCTAAGAATGGGAACAAGACAAGGATGCCCACTCTCCCTACTTTTATTCAACATTGTACTGGAGGGTCTAGCCATGGCAGTCAGACAACACAAAGAAATAAAAGGCATCCAGATTAGTAAGAAACAAGTTAAACTATCACTGTTTGCAGATGACATGATATTGTACATAAAAAACCCTAAAGAATCCACTCAAAAACTATTAGAACTAATAGTTCTAATAACTTTGCTGAATTCAGCAAAGTTGCAGGATACAAAATTAATACACAGAAATCTGTTTCATTCTTATATACTAATGATGAACTATCAGAAAGAGAAATCAGGAAAACAGTCCATATACAATTGCATCAAAAAAAATAAAATACTGAGGAATAAACCTAACCAAGGAGGTGAAAACCTATACTCTAAAAGAAAACTACAAGACACTCATGAGAGAAATTAAAGAAGACACCAATAAATGTAAATACATCCCATGCTCATGGATAGAAAGAATTAATGTTGTCAAAATGGCCATTCTGCCTAAAGCTACCTACAGATTCAATGCAATACCTGTCAAAATACCAACAGGATTCTTCAATGAACTAGAACAAATAGTTCTAAAATTCATATGGAGTCACAAAAGACCCTGAATACCCAAAGCAATCCTGAGAAGGAAGAATAAAGCAGAGAGGGGGGATTATGATCCCCAACTTCAAGCTCTACTACAAAGCCACAGTAATAAAGACAGTTTGGTACTGGCAGAAGAACAGACACATAGATCAATGGAATAGAATAGCAAGTCCAAATATAAACACACACATATATGGACTACAATAAAGGAGACATGGATATTCAATGTGGAAATGACATCCTCTTCAAGAACTGGTGTTGGCAACACTGGATAACTACATGTAAGAGAATGAAACTGGATCACTGCCTAACTCCATACATAAAAGTAAACTTGAAAAGGATGAAAGACCTGAATGTAAGTCGTGAAACCATAAATCTCTAGATGGGACTACATTAAACTAAAAATCTTCTATACAGCAAAGGACACTATCAGCAGAATAAAAAGGCATCTTTCAGTATGGGCAAATATATTCATAAATGACATATCCAATAAGGGGTTAACATCCAAAATATATAAAGAGCTCACATCCCTCAACTCCCAAAAAGCAAATAACCTCATTAAAAAATGGGCAGAGGATCTGAACAGACACTTCTCCAAAGAAAAAACACAGATGGCCAACAGGTACATGAAAAGATGCTCCACATCCTTAATCAACAGGGAAATGCAAATTAAAACCACAATGAGATATCATATCACCTTACACCAGTTATGATGGCAGACATCAAAAAGACAGGGAACAACAAATACTGAGAAGGATGTGGAGAAAGGGGAACCCTCCTACACTGTTGGTCAGAATGTAATTTAGTTCAACCATTGTGGAAAGCAATATGGAGGTTCCTCAAAATGTTAACAATAGAAATATCATTTGACCCAGGAACTCCACTTCTAAAAATTTGCCTGAAGAAAACAAGATCACAGACTCATAAAGACATATGCACCCCTATGTTTATTGCAGCATTATTTACAATAATCAAGACATGGAGGCAACCTCAGTGTCTGTCAGTAGATGGATGGATAAAGAACAGGTGGTACATATACACAACGGAATATTATTCATCCATAAAAAGAAAACAAATCCTACCCTTTGAAACAACATCAATGGAGCTAGAGGGTATTATACTCAGTGAAAGAAGCCAGGTGGAGAAAGACAAGTGCCAAATGATTTCAGTGATTTGTTTGGAGTATAACAACAAAGCAAAAACTGAAGGAACAAAATAGCAGCAGACTCACAGACCCCAAGAAGGGACTAGCAGTTACCAAAGGGAAGTGGGTGGGGTGGGCGGGCAGGAAGGGAGGGAGAAGGGCGTTAAGGAGTATTATAATTAGTACACGTAATGCAGGGGTGGGCACGGGGAAGGCAGTACAGCAAAGAGAAGACAAGTAGTGACTCTATAGCATCTTACTATGCTGATGACTGTAATGGGTATGTGGTAGCGACTTGTTAATAGGGGTGAATGAAATAACCACAATGTTCCTCATGTGGAATCTTTGTAAGATTATATATCAATGATACCTTAATTAAAAAAATTAAATTATGCACTCTGACTCCAGTGATCACTCATCTACTCCTCAGCTGAACTGACCATAATCTGTCTCTCTCATTCTACATCGTCAGAATGCAGGTAATGTGGCTGCCAGGAATGGACTGGTGGATCTGAGGATATCAGAGCAGAGCTATAAATCTGATGTAAAGCTCTTTTGTACTTTTTTGGATCTTTTTGCCATTCAAACAAGCTTTTCATGAATGATGAAGAAGATTAGTCATATAGAAGAATGATTTCTGACACGGGTCCTCTCAGATCTATAAGGCCAAGGAGTAGGTCAAAACTCAGACTCATACAATAATTATAAGATTATTTGAGAAGCTTTTCCCTGCATTACAAAGCCTGGGTTTTGAAGTCAGACATATCTGAAATCTAATGCAAATCTAGACTTTCCTTAGCATCATGCAATCGTAGCCAAGCAGGATCTGTTTCCTTATCTGTAAAACAGGTGTAAAAAATACCTCATAAGGGTTGTTGGTGTGGGGAGGTTAAATGAATAAATACCTTTAAAGCAGTTAACAAGAGTGTGGTAGGTAATAGGAAATATTCAAAAGGGCAATAACAATTATTAATACAAGTAGTTTTAATAGAATATCCTATTGCCTCCACTGAGTCCTTAAATGGTGCTAAATGTTCTAAACTGCCAAAATACATTAAGAGTTTTATAATGACACCCTTTTTTGGAATGTACTAGGAAGCAGAAGGAAAACAGGGACAAAGATAAAAAAAAATCTGATACCATCAAAAGAGATAAACAGATTAAAACTTTCAACTGTAAAATGTCTTCTCTCCACTTAGATTGGGGATATGTAACTGAAGAATGCCAGAAAATATTTGTTCCTCAAAGCAATTACAGGCAGCTCTGACAAGCCAAAAAGAAAAAAATAGATGAAGCCACTCAGCAAAACTCTTCTTGTCTCCTTCCCCCATCCTTCACTACAAAATCCATTATTTAAGAGGCGTAAGAAAATCACTCTAAACACACAAGGCACATGTGTTTCTCTAAACTAACAATAAAAAAATGTAGTGGTTTATAATGAAAAGATTTTATAGAAACAGTAGATCTTTTACTTTCCGTGAATGAGCAAATGAGAGCCTCAAATACCCCCATATATCCTTAGATTTCTCACATTTTCTAATGACCTTGGGAGCTAACCTGTATAATGCATTTTGGTACACCAACCCTCCCCTTCTTTGCACACTATTAGAGGCCAGGGCGACTCACCCACTATTGATGTCATCGGACCGGAGACTTTTCCCAAGGATGTCACCATCACTCATATATCCACCAACATCAACTTCAGAAGACACATCCAGGTCACTGCTCGCTTTCTCACTCATGTCCACCTGTGACATGTTTCCCAGCCGAGAGACAGCTGCCCGACGGAGAGGTGTTGTGTACATGAACCTTGAGGGGTCTGTGTGGATGAGCCGGCTGGTCCCGCTGCGAGAGTAGCCAGCACCCAGAGAGGGGGCATCGCCAGCCTGAAGCCGGGGGCACGCCTGGCCCAGCCTCCAGGTTACAGGCGTGGGTCGGCTCGTCAGGTTGGGGATGGTCCTTCCGTTCACTTCTGTTGTCACTGTGCTGTCGAACGTTGTCTCCAGGGTGCTGTGGGTGACATGGAGAAGTGACTATACGCTAGTTCTCTGGGACCACAGAGCAAGGGTACATGAAGACAGGAAAGGCTAGCTGAGAGTCGTTTCTAATATATATGTGGTTTTCATGAAAGCCAAGTTATACAACCATTATGAGATTCTAAACACCTCTGAAGATGTCAAACTGTGCGAAGGGGCATTTATTTGCAGTTTTTTTCTATTTGCCTTCCAAAGGAAGGCCATCATTACATTTTAGATCAAAGAAAATACTGTTTCACTTTTCCAACAAACTCTTTAAACTATTGTAGCCTCCCAGAACTATTCCAGAAGTTAACTGCATTATGTCTGAAAGTCTCTCCACCACCCTCCCTACGTGCATTTCAACTGCAACTTCTGCCACTTTTCTTCGGGGCACGCTGGAAAACCCACTGAGTAGAAATGGTGACTGTTTTAGCAGCTAATTCAGTTTGAAAGGGAAATTATGTCAAGGAAGGGATGGATAGGAGGAAAAAGTCCCTGGATATTTGCTTAGAAGTCAGCACTTGACTGTCCTGTAAAATTTAAGTGAGAAAATAGTATGGGAAAGCAAAAATTCCTTCTCTGTCACTGTATGACATTAAATGCTTGATTGTCATATTTTCTTTATTGGCCTCAAAATATGGAGAATTGGGAGAAACCTGTGGCTTATCTGGGTCCCACGAAGACTGGACATAGTCTCTTCTAAGTTCTGCCTCAAATCTGCTATGTTTTTAACCGTTCTCATTCTTCTGGTTTCGGGGTCTTCACCTAGACACAAGTAACATAATAATGAGTGTGTCAGTCATGTCATTACTGTCTGCAGGGTAAAAACGTATGCATAAGAAGTAAGATACATTCCTCCTCTTAAAAGTAAAATGATAGGTAGGAAATCAAGGGCTATTATCATCTGATAATATAGTCCTTGCTATAGATAAAATGGAATAGAAACAAATGTAATAAGTAAAACTATGAAGTGGTGATAATACAATAATACTTTGTAGACCTATGACCTTAATCACTGCAAAATGAGCAGGTCATTTGGAAATATATTGTACAGTACTCCATGTTACGGAGCTTAATTTAAAAATCTGAAACTATTTGGGTCCTAACTCTCCATAAAAAAGACCTGTTTCTAAGTGTGCTCAGAATAGCTGAGATAAATATGCCTTATGTGGCAAGTATACAGTTGGACTCAGGAATGAGATATTTTTAGAGAAATTATCTTTCTAAGTCTTTTATTAGACTCATGGACCAACATTCACAACTTTGGATGGCTTTGTTTTTAATTATTCCTCCACTTTCTACAGGGAATGCAAACCTCCACGTGTGAGGCTAAAGTTTTGGTCCAGCCCCAGGCATGTAAATCTGGGATGGTCTGACAGGTGAGAAACAAGCTCTGCCAGCAGGACACACGCCTTTCCTGTGCCTATCACCTGGGGGCAGAAGTGCCTGGTGCACCAGTTTGTTTAGGGCAATTAAGTTTCCAGGCCAGTGGCCTATGAAGCTGGTGTGCCTGGATGATAAGGAGAACATGGAAAGGGAGTAGAGGAAGCATGGTTTTTCTTCAGTTCATCTTTCACTCAGGAGGCTATCCAGGAATGAGAGATTTTAATACAAAGGAAAGAAGGAAGACAGGAAGAGATGGGAGGGAGGGAGGGGAATGGATGGTTTAAGGGGAGGGGAGTGCTGGTAGGAGAGGGAAGTAGAGGAAGACAGAGGAAAGGGACGGTAGGGAAGGAAGGGAATGGGTGGGAAAGAAACAGAGAAAGAAAAATGGGGTAGAAAATAGCATATATTAAATTCCGGTATGAAAACTGTCACATAGAAAAGTCAAGATGTTTATCTACAATCGTTTTTTTAAGAACATAGGTAGATACTTAATCTGTTCATTTTCTTCCACAGAATTCATACCAGATTTTTAAAAATATGCAACAAATACACCCACTTTACATTTGTAATATAATCATAAAATTGGTGGGGCTTCAGCGAACATCTCACTCACCTCTCAGCCAATGAGTGAATTCATCTACATCTCACTAGGGAGATGGCCATGTGCCTCTACCTGACACGCCCAAGACTGAAAGGTTTCCTTCTCTCCAGTAAGAGATGGCTCTTTCAAATATTTGTGAAAATGTTTCTGAGAATGAATAATAATTTTCCTCCCTTTAACCTCCATCCAATGGTCCTGTGGCTCTGAAACCAACTGAGCGACTTCACACTATCTTTACCGCGGCAGTCACTCGAGCTCTAGAAGAAAGCAACTGCTGATTCCTCTATTTTCTCCTTCAGCCAAACATTACTACATTGTTCATTATTCCATCCTGGATGATTGCAAAATGACCACCATTCTGCTGCGAGTCTTTAAATCTCTTCTTTTTTATTTACAGATTATTTGAATGATTAAAATACATGTAACAGCATCATTATTTCAAACTTAGAAAGTACTAAAGAACTCCTGTAAATGTATTTTTTAAGAAATAAGAAAGCACATTATACCCTCATGCACACGACAGACTTTTCCTACACTAATTCAAGTCATGCAATCTCTAACCTTACACATTAACATTCTCTTAAATCTCAGACCTGTTAATAACCTTTAAGACTCTAACCATATTCTCTCTGAAAATTTTTTCCTTCCTTTTACTTATAACAAAGCATATTTGAGAATTGACAAGAAAGAAGTCTACCTTTTACTTCCAAATAATCTGGTAGAAACCTGAAGAAAAAGGAGGGTTTTTTAAGGAAAATCTTCAAGAGCAGAAAAAGAGTATCATAGTCAAAGGCAGAGGTGAAGAATAGATTTTACTCAAAGTGGGCCAAAGAAATAGTGAAGAATGAGACAAAATGTTAGAAGCACTAAAGCCGATATTCAGTATATAAGACTTCATACAGTGTAGAAGCCTTAGATTGTGATGTTAAGAGATAAGTCTTAAAGGAGGAAAGTGTTGAGCTGACCTTTGAGAGATGGAGGAGGGATGCAAGTCATTGACCTCACCTAGACTATAACAGGTACCCTGTCCCTGACCCCTTCCCTCTAGGAGAACTTTCACACTCTCATCAGGTTGTATCTCAACCACTTGACAACCACTTGATAAGTATAATAGTGATCACACTGCTATTTGAATGATTTTCACGCATCTTTTTAATATAAACTTTAAGAACATTGTATTTTCAGATATTCCATTTCACTACATGTTTCTTCATATCTTCTTCATCTCCTTCTAAATTTCCTTCTGCCAATCCAACAGGCATCCAACAGGACCCTTGGTTTTTCCAATTGAATCCACTTCGTTTGTTCACATTGCTTCTCATGTTTCAGAACCATGACTTTCCTCCCTCTGGTTTCACTCGTCATGACAGCCACTCATGACACTGCACCACCTGTGATGGTCAGGCAAAGGGGCCTTTTCCTCCTAGCACTTATTGAGCAAAACATAACTGCTGCCTCATTTATATCATGAAAGATAATATCCAAATCAAAATTTGTTGCATTAAATGTTCTCAATGACCCACAAAAGGCAAGATCCCATTAACTGTACTTATGAGCCCCTTAGGACTGCAAAAGTGTGACACATCCTGTAAATGTGTATCCAATTGATGTCTAGTGGGTTGGGGACGGGAACAGAAATGTCATTGAAAAGGCCAAATGTAAAAGCACAGATAAAATTAAATATTAATAACAACTTAGCAGAAACAGTACATAAGAGAAACTCATTTTGTCACAGAAATGTTGAATCCTCTCTCACCTCCCTAATTTCAAAGTCACTGTTATTCCTGAAGGAAGTCTCCTCAGTGTCAGATATGATTGGAAGGGCTTACACACATTTTCCAGAATGATAGATTCTGCAATTCACTTTGAGTTTTCAACACTGGCGCAACTGCTTTTTCACTGCCTCTGAAGTCTTCTCTAGGAGCAGCGCACAGAGTAACAGGCATAATTTGGTGCTACTGTATTTTTACTTGGGGGCAGGGGGACCATTTAATCTGTGTGATACTGCTCCCAGTTTTTAGGCTTTAATTATACACATTATAATTGACACTGCCTGTACTGTCACCTTTTAATAGGAAATCAAGTTTTATATGACTAATCTGATTCACAGAGAATTATCCCTCCACACCATCTATATTACAAATGTTACTTTTTTAGAGCACAGCTGCCTGATTTATTTTGAGAAATAACCCTAATTTTGTGGATAACCACAACAGTGATTTGGATGGAAAATTCTCACCTCATCTGGTTTAAGCCAGACACTTTGGGTGGAAAATATCAAATATGGCTAACAGCTTTATATTTACCTTTTAAATATTCTATGTAGTTGTAGCACAGATCTTTATCTGACGTATCCAACAATAGAGTTGAACTCAAGGAACTCTGCCTAAAAACTAACTTGGAAGAGGCCATTTTGAGTCAGAAGCAGAACCTAGAGTCAAGCACATGGCAGAAATCCTGAAATTCCTGTGTGCTCTGGGCTTGAGTATATTAACCAACTTAACATTCCTCATTACTTAGGGAACTGCGCTGAATGCTTCATTACCCTGACATGATTGTTCATATCAGAGCTATTGGAATAAACTCTTCCTCTTACTTTCTATCTTTCATTTTTGAATACTGGCATAAGTGAAAAAAAAAACCTTAAAGAGAACAATCCCATACAATACAATAAGCAGATGCTCAGTTTAAAAACCATGGAATACACAGACTTCTGGTGAGATTACCCTCTGACAGTATTATTTATGCACAAAAAGGCATGTGTCCTATATATACCCACCCTCAGCATGCTATGATTTAACAGTGTAATCAACAAATAATGTCATGGGATTGCACTCTGTTCATATCTTTGAAAATACTTACAGAAGAGGTACTTAGAACAAGATAAATGCTATCATTTTAAAGCCAAAATATGAATATTATTTGATTCTACAGTTCCAGAGGATCAAAAAGAAAAGATTCTTAAGAAATAATATTCCCTCTGTGCCTTTCTACTGTATATGGGTCTTTTATTAGAAGCAGTTCATCACAGCAATCCCACAATGGTGAGGAAGTAAATCTTCAATGTCTGGGTACCTGGTGTATTTATATTCAGATATCACTATTTCCACAACTGTGGAAACATTACTCTTTTAAAGCTGAACTGACATGAAAAATAGAGCAATATTTGTCTCTGCTGTCTTTCTAAGCTTTTTTTGTTTAAAGCTGGTTTACTAAGACCCTAGAAAATCTCACAAAACACCTTGTAACAGGATAGACTACACAGAGAATAAAACAAACCTACATTTAGCTTCAATTGCAGGAATCAGAAACAAAGAAATCATTGGTCAAGTTTTAGTCTTTTAAATTCAAAGAGTCTTTCATGAAGTCTTTTGTGGAAATACACATCGATATAAATTATGATGTGGTCAATGGTTTAATATTTATGGATTTTTGAAGAAGGGACTGTAAGATGTAAATATACTTTGGTAGAGTACTAAAATTTGGTATAACAAAATTTATTCGGTTTAGCTATCTAGGCAGGTGGCAAAGTCGACAGTTAAAGTTTAATGATGAAAGTGAAGGATTACTTCAGACATCTTCATATATAGCTAATTAAAGACTGTTTCAGAAGTTACTGAGACTCATGTCATCATAAAGGCCCAGTTTGTAAAGTACAGAAACAGTTCACAGTCATATATGCGGTAAATGGTTGTAAAGGGCACACTCAGGAACACTTTTTGACAAACACACACACACTAAAGTATGTGTGCTAAGCTGTGAGAGGAAGCCTCTGAAT